ATGGGGTGCGCCTTGGGCTAATGGACGATGATAGAAATTTGACACCCATGTATGTCAAAATTTGAAAACAGTAGGTTGCAAAAAGAAAGCGCAGATGCCCCCCCCAAAAAAACTTGACATGAGCGCGAAGCCATCATAAAACGCACATTTTCAGGGAACACGAACATCCCAATATTAAGCCACGTATGCCAAATTTTAACAACGGTAGATCTCGAACAACAGCAAAGCCGCCACATTAAAAAACACAAAAAGGTGAACACGAAACCACCATAAATCGCACGTGCTCGATCAAAACAAACAACCCAATACTAAGCCAGCCGCTCCCCAAGAAATCTTGGAATAAACACGAAGCCACTATAAGACGTGCGCCTTTACAGAAAATGCACCGCCGCACACGCGTTAATTTCTTAGTAGTAGTGGTGGTAGCAGTAGCAGTAGTAGCAGCAGTAGTAGTAGCAGCAGTAGCAGTAGTAGTCGTCATCGGTGGTGGTGGTGGTGGTGGTGGTGATGGTGGTGGTGATGGTGGTGGTGGTGCTGCTGGTGGTGGTGCTGGTGGTGGTGGTAGTGGTGGTGGTGGTGGTGGTGTAGTTGTTGTGCATGCAGTAGGTGGTAGGAGCCTGCAGTAAGATGACTGGAACCATCGGCGGGCGCGCGTCCAAGGCAAACCTTCCCAGTTCGCGTTAGCGAGCATGCCGGACAGTCGCATTGTCCGCACAATTTGATTTGGAAACGGGGGTGATACCTCTCCGACACCCGAAAACCCTGCAGCAGGACAAAAATCATCAGAGACCTGGGGGGCTGGGCTCAAACACACTTTACCAACATGTTTACCTATACGGGGCATTTTCAAAAGCTTCAGAAAGCGTACATAGACCCATCGCAGAACCTGCTGAAAATCGTCATAAACACCTTGAGAAAGCCTTCATAAAGCCAAGGAAGCTTCATGCAGCGCACAGGAGCAACGTAAAGACGCATGGGTGAAAACCCCCCAAAACCAGCATTGCCATCAGCAACGTTACGGTCCATTTCACCATGTTTTGCCTGTACCCAAGATTTGTCTTCGTTCTTGAACTTGGGATCCAAAACGGGGTTTGGAGCTGGCTTACCAAAAAGCGTGTGGTCATCATATATATATATACACATTTTTTTTGCGGGGTCTTGGAGGACCCCGAGATGCTTCAAAAATGGGTCCGGGTTGTCGAGGGATGCCGCAAGAAAATTTGAGGCCGTATTCATGCTGGGGACCATTAGTTGGAGAAACGGAGGTCCAGGGTCAGCAACACCAGCATGACTCCCTTGAAAGCTTCGCTTGAGATAGTTGGCGGCGACCAAGCTGCCGCTCAGCTAAGCTGCGTTCCTGGGGTCGAGGGGGGCTCGGCCCAAAAAACCGCCGAACGTACCGCAGAGTGCCGCCCTGCGGGGTCGGCGGATTGGTAGAAGTGCTCAAAAGTCCTGCCTGCCCATCATGGTCCAGTGCGGATGCAGGCCTAGCTAAAGCTACCCTTTACAAGGGGTGACGCTAAAGCCGCCGACTCCTGTTAAATTAGGAGACGGGTTTTCGTAGTCTAAATTCAAGCCACTTTTTGCACTCGTTTTTGAGGCTTCCCGCTCTGGGGCTTTTTTCCGGGCCCGCACAATTGGGCCTTCTTTTCTCAGTTGTGGACACCTCAATATTTGACGGGTGTTGGACTCTCATATGTGTGGTGCCAAGAAGGAAATTGGGGGCCCAAACAGGCTCCATGATGCTCATGGTCCCATGGTACACAGTGTCTGGCTCTCGGGCGGCTGCTGGGATCTTAATCGCGCTACAAACCGCAACAAAACGATCAAAATGGCCGCTGTTAAAAACATAAGAAAAATGTCAAACAGTGCCTTGAATATGGTTTTCGGCGCAGGCTAACCATGTTTTGGACCGCATGTACCTTTTTTTTGCAATTCAGAAGCAGCATTTGAACGTATTTGAGAAGTTGAATTGGCGTACAATCTTAGCATAGGAGCCCCACTAATGTTGGAAATATGGGCAGCATAATTTTCAAAAACCATGAACAAGCGGCAGTGCAGGTTGTCCGTGCTAGTATTTGCAGCCTTAAAGCCAGAATGGCATCCCAATTGTGCTGATCAGCACAATTGGGGTCCCATTTTGGATCGAAATAACGACAAGTAGCAAGAACATCTCTTTTACAGGAGCTTGTCATGATTTGGTGCATCCTGGGGCTAATTGGGACTACGTTTGTTTTTTTTTGGACGGGGGCCGGCCAGGCCGCCCCCGAAATAAGTCTCAGGAGCAATACTCCATTCAGTTCTTAGTTCCTGCACCGCAAGAAGTTGTGTCTGCACCAGGCTCGAAGCAGTTGATCCTTTCTTTGTTTCCTACGGGAAACAGGAAATTCTTTGGAATGGACACGCACGAGGGCCAAAGAGTCATGTGAGTTGTAGCCGTTGTGTTTTCCGCCCAAGTCATCTTCACATTGCGTTCATGTAGTACAGGATGTACGCCCACGGTAGGTCGTGCGAGCGGCGCTGTTTGCAAGTGCCGGTGTCCTGCATTCCAGAGCCAGTACCGCCAACAAGTATGATCGGTTGTCGCGAGTGGAAAATCACACGTGCAGCAAGGGCGGCAGTCTACTTATTCATGTTCCTGTGATCATGATTGCCACTATAGCTTCTTCGTGTATATGCTCGAGGACCTGTGAGCCCCCTCCACTCCCAAGCCACCTTTGCTTTAAATTGTTCTGCAAATGTGTTTGCTTTTGTTTGCAAGCTCACACGTTAGCTGCACCCTTCGTTTGATTTACATCTTTGGCCAATTTTCTCTGTTCTTCTCACTTGGTCTACAATGCTTTGTCTACTTCCTTCGGCTTTTGCAAGGATTGGCTAAGTCTAAGTGGAGGGAAGAAACCTTCAGAGACAAAGACATGGACAAAGGTAAAGGTGGAGGCATGCCAGACACAAAGGCGCAACAGCGGGCGCTCGGCAGGTGCCCATCAAGGAAAAGGATCATGCAGCTTGTTTCAAACCTGGGACACAAAAATGGGCCTCTAATTTGAGAAGCTCATTCTTCTTCATTTTGATACCCACTTGAGCATGAGGCCCAGGCTGGCAAGTGAATGGCAAGGCATTGGCAGGTTCCTGCCTCGAGGTCTCGCAGTCGACCCTTAGCTTACTCGTGCTGAATGGCCGAGTGAATCGAGGTCGATATAGACACTACAATCCAAATTTTCATAGGTCGTTCATGGTGATTCTATAGGCACTGTTACCCCCTAAGAGCAACTTTGGATGTTCCGATTTGCCGTTCTCATCCTTTTGGGACTCGGCCGGTTCTGTACCTGAGTTCGTTTAACTCGACTGACCCTTCGAATTGCTGCAGCTCTTGCTTCAACCAGCTTCTTCTTTCATGAACTTGTTCGATACAGCCTGTCCTGCAAACAGGCGAAACAAACCTTCAGCATTGCCCTTACCTTTCTGTGCATGGATGATCTCTCGCACGCTATGCTGCCAGGAAATTCAACGCATGTCTTTGCGTTTGCACCGCATCTGCGAGAGTGGTCGATGAACCGTGTTCTGCTGACATTACTAGAAGAACGTCAAAGAAGCGTGTTAGTGAGAACAGAAACCTTTTTGGTCGTCAGAATGTTGCTTCTGTCTTGGCCCTTCACGCCGAATATCCTTCAGCAAAAGTATCCCACAAAGCGTCGTTGGTGGTTGCAGGTGTGAGACTTTGCAAAGCTTCCAGTCCCCGTCACTGACATCAACATAAATGTCAGAGTTGTCTACTAGCATGGCTTAGAAGCATCTACCTGACGGCCAGGCGCTCTGCGGTGTAGACTGGGTCAGCAAGCGTCATCGCCTGAGCTGAGATGAAGTACAACATCTGAGGCCCTGAGTCAGGCAGAGTGGTCTCCAGGTTTATTTCAATTTTCCAGAAGCCTCACAGCCCTTCTAACGAGCCACCTCGGAAATTCTTAGCTCATGATTGGGGTCACTCTAGTCCGAGCGTGATGCAATAGTAGAGCCTCTAGCAGCTGCAAAGCAACCACATCAACTTAGGGGCTGGATCGCAGCGCAATGCCTGCAAACCACCCAGACGAGAGCAGCCGTGCTATCATGCAATCCCTTTGTAGGATGCACTGCGGTTCAGGGGACGACTCTAGCGGCCAGCAACATGAATGACTTTTGAAGAATCCCGGATCGTTCACCTTCCTTTTGCCTCAGCTAAGAACCCTCATTTTTATCGTCAATCTGAATTCCAGCAGCTTGTTGGCAAGATGAGGTGGACCCACGTGCTCGACTTCCGCCCAGCTGGAGCAACGGAACTGCCACTTCAGGCAACTTGCGGGGCGCACCAGAGCTGTGCCTACTGCTTCACCCAAACCGAATGGTACGTGTATCTGAGCCTTGCAGATCCAGAGCCTTCAGCAATCGCACGATCGCAAACGCGCAAGTCTTTCTCCAATCAAGCCAATTCGCAAATTCGCTGAAGAGGTCCTTGCTGGGGAAAGGGGCGGACAAACTACCTTGGAGTAATGCTCAACCTGCGCACCATCTTGTTGCTTAATGGAACAGCTTGAATCAAGACCACTAGGTACGCGTCAGACATATGCTCCCTGACTTCGTTGCTTGCCATCAGGGGTGCTTGCTCACCGAGCTCAGATACATGTGCTTGGGTTCTGCTTTAAGACCGACTTTGAATGATTTTTGCTTGCTGCCATGTTCGTCGAGGATTTCTCCCTGCCTGTCGGTGACTGCCGCAAAGCAATTATCCCGCGGTGTTCAGTCGCGAAACCAGATACGTGTTGTTCTTCTATGGTCCATGGGCTTGCTGAAGAATCTTAATAGGAAAGCGTGGTAGCTCCCTGCCACACTCAAGTTCAAGTGCTGCCACACGATTGGAGATCCAATTGCTTGATGTCGGGCCAGGTCATTTGGCTCTGTATCTGTGGAAGTTTCATGTTTCCCCAGTCCGCAATGTTGGAACCTGCGGGTCCGTGTTGACATGCAGTATGAGGCGCAGAAGGCGCAGAGACTCACGCTGCAGAGAGCCCCGGGCGCGTGGTCAGTCGCCAGCAGGCCGCAGCCGCATCCAAGATTTGCGGCATGAGTTCGAGCGAGAGCGCTCTCGTTCCCGGACTCCGCGGCCTTCAGCGATGGAGCTGCGAGACGAAGTTCAGGAACTCGTGGAGAACCTCATGGATCTAGACTTTCCCAATGACGACTTGCGAGCCCCTTGGGCCAAGATTCTGCACCTGCGTAAGCGGCTTATCAGCGGTGACGAAACTGCACGTGGCGAGCACGATTCTGAACTTCCACGGGATGTGCAGGAAGCAGCCTTCCAGAAGACAAATTGGAAAGGAAAGCTGCAGGAGCTGTACAATGGAAGCTTTCGAAAAAACGTCGAGAAGGGCGAGATTAAGTACACGACATCGGAAGTGACGAGCGCGACAACCGTTGCATTTCGGTCGGTAGTGGAGGCAAGTAGATTCCAATATGCCTACCATGGACAAATTTGCCACGCGAAGAAGCTTGCTGAGCACTCTGCGGCACATGCGGCTATTTGTGCAGAGTTTCCTGACTATAACTGGCGTGAAGCCTTGCCGCTGCCTGAGCCTGATTACCAAGGCTCCTCACGGGCTTTGCGTTTCAAGAGTGAGCTGCATGAGACGATCAAGGCACTGACCAATAAGGAAGTCACAAGGGATGATCTGCCATATGAAACGTCGTTTTTCCCGGACAACGATCGGGACCAGCAGTACGTCGCTCGTGTTACGCTGGCTTGTTTGGACAAATCAAGCTACACTGGAAGACCTGCCATGAACAAGAAGCTGGCGGAGCAGGCTGCTGCTGAGGCCAGGACGGGATCAATCGCAGATGTCATGCAACCTGCTGCATTTCCTGCATGGCTTGCTTTCTTGTTCTAGAAGTGGATTTCGGCGGGCAAGGGATGCTTGCAGACTTGTGTCATGAGCACTTGACCAGTATCCTGTTGAGAAGCATGTGATAGTCAATCTGCAGATGACAAGCTAGGCACCATAAACGTATAGCCAATGAGTCCCACTTCCATGGAAAGTTAGCAGATGCACTCTCATTGACGGGTGATTCAAGGTGGCTCTCAAAGCTTTGGGTCCAAAAGCGGCCGAACGCAAGGACCCCCGTGTGAAACAGTTGCAGTGTTCAGAGTCCTATCCGACGTGGTTGCTGCTTGTCCTGCCTGCCACCTAGATTACGGTGCTGAGGAAATTTGCCATGTCAACAGGCAACCAACTCCTCTTCAGTCTACAGAGCTGTCTCGGTAAGCGTTGCTGTTCTGACTATTTCTGACCTTCTTCTTCTCAGTTCCTGCTTCATGTTCGCGATGAGAACCGCGTGACCCTTGCAACAACTTACAGAACATGTCTGAGTACCACTCATGTTTCGACTGCCTTTTCAGTGCAAGGCCCGACTCCTTGTTCTTGACTTCTTGGGAACTTATTGTGAATCATTTCTGGTCCGTGCGTGCTTCTGCACGGCAGCATCGATCTTGAAGGATTAGCAGTTTGTGGGCAGTTCAGTCGTGTGGGTGAAGTTCACTAGAGGCCCAATCCTCCTGCAAAAAGCATCGGCCTCAGACTCCAAATCCTTTATGCAGGAAATGAAGCGACTTGAAGTTCAGAAAGCTCGCAAACAGAAGGCCCGTGAAAGGGCGGAGCAGAAGGGACTGCACAGCCAGACGGTGCAGGATGAGGAAGAGTGCCCAAGCTTAACCAGGTTGTGAGATGTAGTGTGATTCTGTAAACGAGGGCAAGTGGCGCAAAGCTCCGTGTTTATGGATCAGTTTCGGTAGCGCGCTGGGTACGGGCTATTATAGCTCAGGGATGAAAGCCGCGCAGGTGCAGTCAAGGGCTTTGAAATATTTCAGAATCACAGAGGTGCAGTGAAGTATATTGGCACAGTCCAAGATCAAACAAATCTCCTTTCTCATCCATGTGTAAAGCAGCAGGCTCTACCTCTAGCAATCATCAAGCGCGGCGCCCCGGGCCTTTCCGACAACTGTGCACGGCCAAGGAGCAGCTACACTTATGGTGACAGCAACTTGGCAAGTCTTGGCATAGCTTGGCTAAAAGGCTTGTGAGGCCACGCAATCTCTCATCCAAAGTGTACCTCTCATTCCGACTTTCGCTGATTCTCGGGGTTACTGATTCCGGTGAGTTGTGAATAGGTCTTTTACGCCACAAAATTGCAAGGCAAGATCATCGCAGTTGGAGGTGTTTTTGCATTTTCTGCATTCGTGGTAGACCAGCATTGCCTCTACTCAGAAGTGCAGTTGCGACCCAAGATCTGGCATTTTAGCTTCAAGACCTGCCTGTTTCGAAGAGACCCTTTGCAGCCTCTCTTGAGAACTGACAAATCAGGTGAATCTGGGGATGCAGACCCAGCCGCTCCAGTGCAGTAGATTTCTACTGCATCACTGTCGCCACCATCTGAGAAAGGTTTGGCACCCTGACAGGGCATGCTACTGACTACGATTTGGTTGTGAACCGGGAGGCATGAGCTTCAGTGTCATCGCGGTTCTGAACTTGCTGCCCCAATAGCACTCTTTCGATTTGCCGGCGAAATTCCACTCAACCCTAGCGCCTCAACCTTGGGCGTTGCGTTCGAAAGCATGGTTCAAAAAAGCGCGCGGAGCTGCTGCAACTCGTCAGGATATGCTCATCAGAGCTGCGCAAGGACATGCAGAAGCAAGCCCGATCCCAACAAGCAACCCAATTCATTCAAAGTTATCAACGTTTTGCTCGTCGCCCTTTCGTGGCACAGGAAGCGCCTTTCTCCATTCGTCCGCCTTGGACCTGGCCAGGCCGCCCGGCACAGGACAAGAACGGGTGAAAAGCACGGGATTGACTATTTAGGCAGTCCATATAGAAGTATATAGGGATAACATGGTATAATGGAGCAGAAAATGCAACGTCGGATTTAGAGTATTTAGGGTTCAGGATACTCAGCTCCATGTTCACTGTTGCGGACCTGCTGTCCTTATTGACCAAAACTTTACCTTAGCCTCGCGAAGGCCTATTAGATTCTGGATGTACCACTACCCCAGCATTTTTCAGGGTTGAGTCTGTTTTCTTCGTTGATACCAATGCCACATGCAGGAGTTCTTGGATTTTCTGCCAACAATCTTCGACTTCCTGCGGCCGGCCACGACATGCTTCTGCAATGGTCTCAATCAATCCAATTCGTGTTCGCAATCTGCTAGCTGTTCTGATTCGTCCCATTACGCCTCTTGTTCCTCCTCTTGCTACACCGCTGTGAGAAGTCTGCTTTCAAGTTTGATGCCAGGCATGCTGCCCTGGTGCGGGGTGCGCCAATACCGGTTGCAGACGTAGCTTTGGGCCATAGTTGGGGGGTGGGGCGTAAGGTAGGCAGGACACTAGGTTCTCCAGATGATGCCGCTGCTTAATTGTTTGATCCATTCTGAGCGTGGTGACACCTTGTTGCTTAGACCTTCAGTTGTCAGTCAATGTAGCGTCTACAGTCATGTTTTGATTCAGGTGCAGGTGCCATGATGGTACTGAAAGAAATTAGTCTCTAGTGCGCTCCGGGCTTGTTGGACTGGAAATGTTGAACCCTTGCAGAAGCTTACAACCTTTCAGAAGCCTGCAGCCTTAGCAACCAAACACAAGGCCTCACAATGATGCGGCACCGTGCTAGTTTTTCTTTCCGCCCGGCCCGTCCGATGCGGCTCAAAGCAGGCCCATGATTTGTCAACAGTAGCGACAGATAGTTAGAGGCTGGTCATACCTTGTTGGTTCACATCAAGACCCCCAATCATCCGGGGCCATCAGAATATCAAGCGTTGAGCACAAGATAGCACAAGCGTCAAGCATCACTGCTCCACTGTAGTCTTTTTATGTTAGCTGCTCGTAATGTGGTGTGAGGGAATACATCCCCTAGTGGTCCACAAGAGCGCCTATAGATTCCATGCGTTTGCTTCGCAATCTTTTTGTGTTGGAAGTGGCAAGTCATTCAGCCATTGGCCTGCGCCTTCTTTCGCCCACACACAACTCCAGGCTGGTTGATGTGGGATGGAGGGGCTGTTGGGCTCTGAGGAGGACCAAATGCTTTTCCTTTGCTGACAGAGCCTGTTTAGTCCTGCTGCGCGGAAAGTTAATTTGTTTCACAGTCCCCAGGCGTGCGCTCGTTTGCGCGATCCTTTGGTGCGGCGAAAATCCCAAAATGCCCTGTGAGTGTGCAGGTGTCAACAGAGGACCCATCTAATCCAAGCTTCCGTCAAGAAATGGAGTCCGAGGACGAGAGCTTCTTGGCGCAATGCGTGTGTGTACCTCACTTTGAACACCCGGTCATCGTATACATATTTTCTTCACGACATCAGGCTTATCACGGGAGTGGCTATGACTGGCATTACCAGAATGCGAGGTGAATTTCTTGGGTGTCCACAAGACACGCTTACTTGTAGCTGTTGCCAGAAGTAGCAGCCACAGAAGCTCAAAATCCAAGGCCTTCGTCTGGCCGACCTGGTATCGGAGCAAGCTGTTGGCCAGCAGCTGAGATCTAATTACTTCAGACCTGGGGCCAACCTGTGTTTTGTTGCTAGACAAGCGTAAAATGTTTGTAGCTTTTCGCTGAGGTCTTGAAATCTTCATGTGCTGCAACATACCTCGGAAAAGCTTCTGGAAACAAGGTTCCGAGAGAGTTTTCGCTGCCTTGGAGAATGAGGCAGGCGTACTTCGAAATCATATCTTGCTTTGTGTTGAGCCTAGTGTAAGCGGTGGATGTGAAAAGGCACCTGTCACTTGCAAGGGGAACCGTACGGTTTTGATGCTCAAGTGCTGTGTCGCTTTGCGTATTGTTAGGACTGTTAGGACGTGACGGTACCTCATTCCAGAAGAAACGAATGAGGCTCATTCAACATTCAACATCGTTCAACCACCTGATCTCAAAGTGCAGGCTCTTTGGGCTGTGAAGGAAGTTGTCTTGACTGTCGGCTGGTAGTAATTCAAACTGTTTGTCGGCTATGTCCCCCTTATCTACTCAACAGCCATCCCTTTGACCTGAACTTCCCGAAGTTGAAGCCAGCCCTTAGATAGCCGTCTCCTTGGTCCTAGTGCAAAAGCCACCAAGCTCTTGAAAGACCTCCAGTTTAGCATCCCCTTCCTCCATGATAACGAAATGTACTCATTGTCGCAAGGAATCTTTCTGCAACATGATGAACCCAAAAAGCCCTCGATACTTTTCTCTTTCTACTCGCGCTGCTCTGATGCTGTGACAGACCTTTCCAGAAAGCCATCGAAAGAATGCCGCGCTCTCAGCGCCTGCTGCCCTCAAAATGAAGAGCTTCAGATGACAGCAGACTGCTCAACCCCATTCCTGATTTTCCCAGCAAACGTCAATGGTTTGCAGCTTCTTTCTCTGAAATCCGCAGCAAAAACTTGAGGCTTGCTTGCTTTGCCGCATTTGGTAATTTCCATAAACAGGGGAACAACAATACAGACCCTTAAAATACAAAAACAACATTTTGTAGGGACCCGCAAAAATGTACCCCTGATTTAGGGAAACCCATTTGTGAGAATGCGTGCGTCAAGTGCATGTGCTGATGATTGGAGCAGATGAGACACTGGGGAAATTGAGCCGAGAAAATTGAGCCGAGCCTGTGTAGGACACACACGGGACGGATGATGTAGCCGTACAATCGGGGCCTACATATTCATCAATATCATGGTCACCGATTCCTAATAAGTATAGCGTACCTGAAATAGACCTACAGTATGCTTGCAGTGTTGAAGCCATCACAGAGGTCCGGGAGGAAGGTGATGAGCGCAAGATTCTGGGGATGTGTCTCGGTGTGACCAGCCACTACACTCAGGCCAGCTGCGGGCAGAAACATGACCTTGGAGTTAAGCTAGAGGTGTTGAAATATGTTTTTGACACGTAGCCGAAAACTCCAGGAAGCTTTCCATTGGTTACTTAGTGTTCTCGGTCGCCAGGGTGCGCAAATCTCTGCGGCAACGCGGCAGAGGCGCACAGCATCTCTAACTCTTTGCTGTCTTTACCCAGCAATTGTTTGTCAAAGGCAGATGGCAGGTTTACACCTTGGTCGTGCTGCTTCTCCGTAGCTTGCATCTCTAAGTTTGAGTCTTCTTGGCACACGCGACGGAGTTGAACATACCCAGTCTGCAAGTGCAGGCCCAGCGTAGGTTGTTTTGGCAGGGAACCATGCCTGCATCACCCAGAACCGACAGGTTTTTCAGTGCGACCATCGCTAGGTGTGCTGCAATATACTTAACCTGCATTGGGCAGCTGCTGCAGCTGCCAGCCACTTGCTACAGTGTGTGCTGTACGGTCCCCCGAATTTTGGGGTACAGGTAGTGGTCTGCAGACTCCGCCTGAGAGGGAGGTCTAGCTCCTTTTTTTTGAATGGTTGTCGCTGATTCCTTGCGAATATGGAATCGAACAGCAGCCAAGGCCTTCATAACCAACCAAACTAAAGCCAGGCCCCCTCCCTTGGAACTCAGAACAACGTGCGCATGCGTGCGCTAAGATTGCAACTTCTGGATTCATTTTCAAGCCCCCCCCCCCCTCCCCCCAACGTAAAAAAACAGTCCGCATTCGGCAGCAAGCACAGTGAGCTGGAGTGGAGGCCCAGCCTTACGAAGCTTCTTTGCAACTTTGCACGGAAGGTGGGCCCTCCTGCTTCAGTTGAGAGTTCTTAGGGGCAGCAAATTCTCTGAACCGCTTTCTTGAAGCCTCACAGGGCTGCTCTTGAACGTTGTCTCCATAAAGCTGCATCAGTTGCAACTATACTGCATTGCCATTCGCGAGCATGCTCCGGCCAGTTACATGTCGACTATACTATGGAGTCCTGCGCGCTGAACATTGCCGCTTTCTGACAAACACGCAATGCTTTTTTTTGGATGGTAGGCAGTGGCCAGGAGATTCCCAACTTCCAGTTCACCTCCATCCAGGTCAACAAGGACCTCTCCTAATCGCTTCCCCGTGGCATTAAGCGACGTCATCCGCCGTCGTCCCCCGCAAAATCTATCTTATTTCATCCAGGACCCGACACATTACTAATATTAGGCTCCTGCTAGTAAAAGAAGATGAAATTGAACTAAGAGCTAGTGAAAATCTAATGAAACCCGCTCAGAATCTAGTCAGACCTATTGACATAGGATTCATGTTTAATCGAAATATAGTTGCAGCCTAAGTGGAATTTTCTTTAACGATGACAACCAACAGCCAATTATGACCCCCCACCCCCCAGGGGTGGGTTTTAATGACATGTGGTGTTTTTGCTTGCTTCGCTTGAGGAGATTTGCGGTAAGACCTAGCTGCTCACTAGATGCCAGGGCTGCGATCTGA